CAAGTCCACTGTCTGACAGGACAAGGATGGACACAAGTCCACTGTCTCATGGGCCAAGTAGCAGTCCAGCAGCATGTTCAGCTCCACACCACAGGAATAAATAATCTGAAGGTTTTAGGAGAAGTCCTGGCAGAGCTACACCGTCCTACGTCTCTAGTTTTCTTCCGTCAGTCAAATGTTTGTCTCTTCTGCTGAATTTTCTTTTAGCTCAAACAGGATCAGTGTAGGCCACATGATAAGTATTGGTTTGGTGTCTCAACAAAGCCTAAAATATCGTAAAATACAAGACAAATCCTCTGTCACAGCAACAAACAAACTGCTGAGTCACTATAATATGCTCACTCTTTAATAATGTGCAGCGTATTTATTAAAGACGCATCATTCTTCAGAACTTTAAACCTCAGAACATGCCAGTTATTTCAGTTATGTGTCGACAAAAACACAAAACTAACTTATTCATCCAGTGAAGATAGAAACCTTCTTATGCATGGACGGTTCAGAGGTTTCACAAAGAAACATCTCAATTCAGTTCATTTCTATAGCTGCAAGTCACAACAGAATCATCTCAGGGCACTGAAAAAAAAATATATATATATATATATATATATATATATATATATATATAAAAGATAAGGACCTATCTATCTTAACTTAAAGATAAGGACTAAAACTGAGTGACCCGTCAAAGTCCAACGAAATCCCCTGTGAGGTTTTAGAAAGTCTGATTTAGATCAGTTTGATTCAAAGTTTCAAAGTCTGAAAGAGTCCAGGAAACCACGGATCAAGATTAGAACATGCACCAGATCATTATTACTTACTTGATAAACATATTTAAGGATTCTTTAAATTATTGTATAAAAGCAATGACAGAAACTCAGCCTATATAAATGTGCAGTTTTAACAGTTTAAAGGCACGGTGGCTTTAATGTAAAGCTTTACATTAAAGATTTACATTAAAGCTTTAATGTAAAGCTTTACATTAAAGCTTTAATGTAAATCTTTAATGTAAACCTTTAATGTATACCTTTAATGTAAAGCTTTACATTAAAGCTTTAATGTAAATCTTTAATGTAAACCTTTAATGTAAACCTTTAATGTAAACCTTTACATTAAAGCTTTACATTAAAGCTTTAATGTAAAGCTTTAATGTAAA